TGGCAACGACGTTGCAAAACAAGCCAATTCACTTCGTGAACTCGGCAACCAAATTACCGGAGAGTTTTTATACCTCTGTTTTCTTTTGGCGGTAACCATAACGGTGGTCGAGTAGATCATTTTGTGCGGGGTGGACAATCTTCACTCCGCGCGAGGGGGATGATCGCACCACGCGTTAAAATGGCCACGCATTCTCGAGGCAGTTACACAGTGCTTACAACAGTCTCTGGAAGTGAAAGCACCAGAAATACGCAGCTGTCATCCGTACGCAAGGCAGCAAGCACAAGATGCCAACACCCTTAGCAGGATGCAGCGCACCCTTCATGCGACTCGCCGAATACCTCACGGCGTTTCGCGCTTGGTGATATGAGAGCCTGGTCCGGTGAGAACCCGGCGTGCTCCGTCCCGGCTTTGTAGGGATGCGAGGTCAATGGTCTAACGACTACGGCATGCACGACCATGAGTACACCCCCCCCATCATTGGACTCTGTCGTCTGCCCCTCTGGCCCCTAGTCCACTTCTACTAGCTAGACGACCCAACCGGGATCACATGTAGTGTAGTGAATACTCAAGGGGCACACGACGAAATATTCAGGCAAAGCAACTGCGGCACGACCATGACCTCATTATTGACGCCGGTACCCGCCAAGCCGTCAAGAGGTACAATACGAGTGTCTAGACTACATCAGCATGCATGCGACGCACTGTAACGTTAGTCTGTCTCCATGTCCAACACAGCTCTACGAAGTACAAGGTCTTTTTTTCGCCGCTGCGGTGCAAACAGGTGTCGCACCTCTGAGGTGGTTCGTCTCCTGCTTCCGCGAAGGCTGGAAACCCTTTGCCTCTGCACGACGTCTGCCGTGAAAATAGAAACACACGGAACACACGGAACGCCGGGGGGGGGGAGATTAGCCTGCATTGATTGTCAGTTGTAGGATCATGTGCAGTAGAGTAGCGCGCGCCCTTCTGTCATAAAACAAGCAGCAACATCGACAGAGGCAGGCTCGCATAAGGTGTGTGAGGCTTACTCCACGTATGCGTACGATTTTCTTGACTCGATCTGATGTCAAGAGGTAGCCGCGCCCAAACATACTTATGTATGTAGACGGCATACACTCCGAGGTCTAGTCTAGTCTTCAGCAGTGGCGTCAGCCCCTACAGCCAAATGCGGCGTGCTGCTGCCATATCTACAACCGCAGGAGAGATTCCGCGATCGACACGGCAGCAGCGGCAGTAGCAACAACGTGCCAGCACGTCATCGTGGGAGTGGGATAACAAAGACCTGCTGTGTTTGTTCTACAGTAACCTACAGTACATACATACAGCAGTAGTGACCACAGCCGACACATGCGATGTTGTCACCTCTCCAGGACCCCAGGTCGCCAGCAAAAATGCCGGGTCAAATTACAACAACACAACTTTGCAGCACCACAATATCTTTGGGCAAGAAGACCACGACGAGCAACCACAGCTAGCTGCCAAACTCAGCGCCCCCTCTGCTTCGCGGCCGACAGACTTCTTGGCAGCTGGATGACACTCCTACCGGCTGGAGTCTGTCAGCTGGATGGCTGCATCACAGCAGCGTAAAACACGATCGCCTACATACATGATCTTCCGGCAATTTTTGGAACGACCCCGTGCAAGAAACACATGAAACACCCACACACCACAGCACCAGCCTTGGGTAAACAACTGTCTTAGGTCTCCAGCAGCTGGGCTTACCAGCGGTGTCTCCAGAAGGCCAGGATGAGCCGGCGAAGACCGCTGCGGACACTACCGGAAGGAAAGCCGCGACAGCAGCGTGCGCTCGAGTCATGATTTACTGTTCACGATGAAGATGATTTGTTCCTCAGGTCACAAGATGAACAACAGCAGTTGCACGCCTTGCGTTGTGTGCTTGCTGTGCTCACTCACTCACGCTCCTGAAAGAGTCGGGATCAACAGGACCTTGTTGCGTGAAATGCTCAGGATGACGTCGGGAGAGAAGAGAGAGAGGGGTGGAGAATGAGTGTGATGGGGCGAGAGGTGCCAGCGAGAGAGACGCGGGATCCAGCGGCAACACACAAAGTTTCTATGCATACTAAAATAAACGTCAGGACCCCGAACATTCCGCGGGGTGACGTGGAAAGAGGGTACAAAGTTACGCCGCAAATCATTGATCGAAGAGAACAGCACTTCTTTTGGAAAACGGAATAATCCTTGACAGCAGAATCTGGCGTTGTTGCTGCTCCGCTTCGGGGTCCCTGCGGCTGCCAGTCTCCTGCACATGTACTGCATCTCTTGTTGCTTCTCATGAAATGATGTCGATGGCAAGTAGCATGTTGACAACTTCCCAAGGTGGTGATGTTGTTGTTGTTGTTGTTGTTGTTGTTTTCGTCCTATTTTATGCATGTGATGGCGAGAGCAGTCCCCACATTTTTCGTGTGACGTGTACTGCGTACACTCTTCGAAGTGTTTGGACAGCAGTCGTACAAGACATGCTACATGTTCGATAGGACGACACCATGCACATGATCTTCTTCAATATCGAGAAAATGGGGAGATTGTATGTATGCAGTCTATTCCCCAAACTCACAGGCTCTCCATTTAAGTGGTGTGTCCAGCAGCAACGGCGAATGCTCCAGCACATGAAAACAAGAAAACTGCTGTTCGGCCTTGAATTTTTCACCAAATCCATGCAAACACCCAGCCAGGTCTATCCACAAGCCTTTGTCGTCTAATGTCCAAGAACGACGCGCGGGATCTGGAACCAGAATACGTTCAACGCGGCACTGATATGGGGTGGCTGGCAAAATATTCCGTGAGGGTGCAAGAACTACGACTCCTCAGAGGACAGGGTAGACTAAGTTAGTCTTGTGGCCACGGGAATCGACCGCGTCAAGTGTTTGATCAGTACGGACGAATGAAGGTACTGGGTAGAGAGAGATCGGAACGGTTTTTAACGAAGACAACAACAACGACGACGACGACAACCCAAGAGCGGAGGACCGCCCACCTGAGACAGCCATTAGTTGTATGTGCCAGCAGTCCTCACGAGATATAATGGGAGCGTACGACACAGAGGACGATGAATTCCTCTCGGTGTGCTGCCCCCCCGCCTGCGATATCGATGCATTTGATTATATTTGTGCAACAAAGAACATGGGTTATGGCGTGACCTCTTTGGCACAGCACTGCCGCCCATATTCCGTGCGGATGATACCCACCCTTGCTGGTGCCCGGTCATGCGAGTAGGAGACTTTTCTTGGGTCTTCAGAGAGGGAAAAAACTCATACACTTTTGTACTTCAACAGCTTCAACGGAGGCACCATGAGTGTACCTCCAATCCTCACATCACGCCAGATCAGGAAGCAGGTTACCCGGGACCCACAACCTCCTGAACACGAAGTGCTTGTGGGTATCATACACAAGCTACCTCTTGTCCCAACATAAAAATCTATAAATACTTCCCAAGTATGGGGCTTCAATATCGCCTCCGGTGTCCTGTACCTACAGCGGACCCTAACGCTCGTCCTACATCAGTGTTCACACCGACAAACAGAGACCCCCCTCCAACAACTTCCGCGATGCCCTCGTTGCCCGTTCAAACAACTCTTCGCGCTAGATGCTGTTGCAAAGTGCAGCCGTCTTAGACAAATACATAGTTGTGGCGCAGGCGTGGCTTCATTGCTCCCCTGGCCCGTCCTCCCCCGGCGCAAGCACTAGGGGTTTCGCACGGATTATCCGCATGTCCTGCAGGGGCTTGTCTTCCGAGTTTACGGCCACCATTCCCATCCGCCGCACCACCTGCAGTGGTACCGCCGGACAACACGCACGATAGAAACCGCGAGGGGGGAGGAAACACGCGAAAATTTTGCACTCCTGGTTTTAGGACATTCACAGAGGGCTAGTTATGCCCGACGGCATGAAGCAAAGCAGAGGACAAAAAAACAAAAATGGGCATCCTACGAGCTCGGATGGGATACCATGCTGGTGCCAAGGGAAGAGTGCGGTACACGGCCCGGGAATGCTCTCCCGAGCAAGAACATTCATCGAGACCAGAGCTTTTCGGGGACGTGGTGTACCCGTCTGCCGGAGAGGTGGCGCAGGGGGTTACGGCCTTTCCGCGATGCCGGGTATTGATCACGGCTGAATACCTCAATAGCGTGCGACTCACACGCGGACGAGACGACGATCATGCCAGAGCATGAAACGTTCAGCAGTCTCCAAAATGGAAAACACACTTCAACACGCATCCTCTTCACCACTGGTATGTCTCGAACGTTCGCGGACGCCACATCAAGTTCCTTTGATACTTTGAGCCAGTCACCTACTTCGAGGCACCTGAACAAACTGGTCTACTCATGTGCTAGAAAAAACAGCCGGTTTTAGTGCGGCTTTCGTGGGTATTGTATGGGTGAGAAGTAATCGACTACCGGGTGTTTCATGCTTATCGTCGTGGTTTACGGATGTGCCGCTGATAGCCAAATGACCTTGTTGGTTCCAACCGTGGAAATAGTCGACAACAAGTACGCCGCTTTACCGCTTACCTTCATGCCCGACGAAATTCGGCCTAGAATTGTGTGCTTTCCGTCAAGCCACGGCGTTGGTCCAAGGGTCACAAAGAACTGGCAGAAAACAAACGAAGGCAGCAGGAGGCAAAGAGCACACAAAAACGACCACAAGCTTCTACTGGTGAGGATTTGGCGGCACATGGCGCGGTGCGATACTCTCATGCTGACAGCAATCGCACAAAAAGTGATGACAGTTTTCAACTGGTAACGTGCTTACGGCACATCGCACAGAGCAACACCCTCTTGCCGAGCCGGGGGTAGGCAAGGGCTGCTAAAAATTCTTGGGTGCGGCTGACATACCGGACGAGCGAAGCGGCGGCGCCACATGGGAGAGGTTCTCACCACAAAGAGGGCACTGCAGTGGTGGAGGCACGTTACCGGACCGGAAGACTGCCACTGACTAGGGCAAAAGCGCGAGAACAACAAGCAAAAATATCAGTAGTCTAGGGGGGTAGAGGTTGAAAAACCCCGCTGAACTGTGGAGGATGAAAAACGCCAGCCTATTGAATTAACCTTGCAAGCGTCGGGCGAGCGCTTTTTGACGCGTTCTCGCGTTCGCCTCACAACCATGGCAAGGGTGGACGTCCTGGTGTTGGCCACGCCCCCATACTGTATGTAACAAATATGGTCTCGATAAACTTGCAATAATAAAAAACACAACACACATACACACGTGCCGCCCCCTCATGGGGTCCCAGTCAACGGCATTTAGAGGTGTTTCGTGTTTTCAAGCGCACTGAGACTGGCGCTTTTTCATTGGTCATCGGGTTAGCGCGGTCAATGCAAGTAATACAGACACACACCGACACATGCGTGCCACCCGTGCACGCACGCCCCCTATTTGTCGCGCTCGGACTGACGTGATGGCAGTGATACGCCAGGAAGAGCGGGCAACGCCAACTCAAGGAAACACGCACACACCAGCGTTGGACAAGCGGCCCTGTCATATCTGGTGTTCGTCCCGTTCAAGGCTAACGTGACTTCCTGCAGGCGGCCAGGCAGCAGCGTTGTCGAGACGCGAATGAAAAAAACACACACTCTCGTACACAACGCTGAGACTGACCCATGGTGTTGGCCAGCCAGTAAGCAGGGTAGATGCCAACCACAAAGAACACAAGCACACACGCTACTGCCGAGGAGAAACAAATGCCGTATTTTGTCATCCCCCTCAAGACTGACGTCTTCTCATGGCGATCAGCGCTGTCGGTGCAAACCAAATCATACACCGAGACGCACACACAAACATATCCGCCATATCCGTCTTTCATTGGCCAGTCCGATAGAGCGTTCAATACCTATTCAAGAAGCACACACACACATTTTCTTCTGTTGCCACCGTTGCTGTCTTTAATCTGGAGAATAGGTTAGTCTCTCCCATGCCGCCCCGTCACGGGGTCCCATTTAATGACACTCAGGAGTGTGTCGTGTTTTCAACCGCACTGAGACTGACGTCTTTTCATTTGTCAGCCGGTTAGCGCGGCCGATGCTAATAATAGAAACACACAAACGTACCTGAGAGCCGTTCGTGTTCGGCCCAGAGTTGGCCATGGAAACGATACCCGCTCCCGTGTGCTTGAGGTCCCGCCGAATCTCGTCCTCGAACTTCCCTCCGAAGCTGGACTCCCCCCCGCGCCCTGTCCCCGTGGGGTCTCCTCCTTGCACCATGAAGTCTTTGATCACTCGGTGGAAAATGGTGTTGTCGTAGTAGCTGCGGCAGGCAGTGGGGTATGGCGGTGGAAGAGCAAGGTACCGGCTGGCTCTAAAGGGTCATCATGCTCGTTGGGATTAGCGAGTCGTTGCACACCTACCTGTGTGCGGGTGCTTTCGAGTTATGGGAGTAGGGCACTCAAGAAGGCGTCCTGTAACGGCCGTCCTACGGCAGGGCGTGCACCACGAGAGTCAACGGAGCTAACCGGAGCATGTCCCACCTCACCACCAACTCAAAAAAAATCGTGAGACGCAAGACGATCTGATTGATGCACACGAATATCCTTCCACAACTCTAATCCGTCGGTACAAGAGACTTGCGAGTATGAATACTGCCGAGCTTGTAGATCACGTGACCCGGAGCCGCTACTATTGCTCGTCTGACCTACTGCTGTAGCAACAGACAGACAGAGACAAGAAGAGAAAAAGGGCAGGAGTGCTGCTACTGCTGTCGAGCATGTCGGAGTCTGCGTCGAGAGCACCTCGTTTTTCTGTCTGCATCCGGATATCGCATGGTCACCCGCTTCCACCACATGTGAGCTACGCCTGCTGTACTGCTCGTCCGCCTAACACAGATGCGTTTTGGGGTAAACCATCTTCAACCAAAACGAACAGCAGTGGATCTTCCAAACGCGCACCCGAACTCCCTCCCGACCCCTCCAGCTCACCCGCGTCGTGCTAGCTCTCCCATGTTGTGGCACGACTTGGGGGCGTGCTGCGAGTACAGCTCGACCGCGAAGCTCCCCTGTCGTCAAAAAAACAACATCCCCCACAAGGAGGAGGGATAAGGCGGGGACGTCGGGGGGGCAAACGAAAAATGGGGGTGTGATGGGTGCGGCAGAGGAGGGCTTGAGGTGCACATCACAAGCAAGCTCTGCTGCTGCTTGCGCCGGACGTATGCGAAAAGGTATCAACAGCAATGGCGTTGTTACCGTGCACGCAGCGTGGCGGATATCCGTCGTGCCGTAGTAGAAACATAATAACATCCATGACCAAAAGGGGAGCACTCTTTCCCTGCTATGGACGTAGTGCTGTCTACTTCTGGGAGCCCGCAGCAGGCTTGTGTGCATACCGCTACAGCAGCAGATGACACGAGACATCACACCCCCTGGATTGATTGTCAAACCTCGACTCTCCACGCAGCAGAGATGGTGGCTGTGGCGAAAATGGAGGCGTTGGAACCGTCTAGTTGAGAGCTCTCCGAAACTATGTCGCCTACTCCACACATCTTCTTTGTCGTCGTAATGTACATCAGACATACAAGGTCGGGCATCGAATATCAATCCAGGGGTATGGTATCTTACGTCATGTCTACTACGGGAAGCACAGCTTGCGTTCAATCCAGTGGGCGAGCGGGGATGAGAGGTCGAGGGTATAGTACGACAGGATAACAGAGCGATATCAGATGTAGCCGCTGGACTGCGAGCTGGTTGCGCATACCTCGAGTGCGGTACAGGCGTGTTATCATCATGTCGCAAAGAGCCCGCTGGACGCAAGGAACCGGTGGGTCACTTCAGAGCGGACGATCCTTAAAAATTTAAAGTCACTGCTTGCTGTGCATCGCAAGAACAACACACAACCTTCAAGCGGGTGGTTCTCACCACGGAGGTCTGAAAGTAGACGTGCGTCGGCCCATTTCCGCTCATGGCGCTCTCCCTCTCTCTCGGCCTGTGCAGCAGATCGCTGCTGTATGGTAGTCGGAGATCGTGTGGCGATGATTAAGCAATACCCCGGTATGATACTACGGTGCCCCCCCTCGCGTACACATCTCCGAACGATCGCGTCAAGATGATTGATTGATGGAGTAAATGTTGTGTTGAACCTTGACTGGAGAGCCTTCTTCCCGTTTTCCGGCCACCTCCCCCCATGAACCACTTGTGGACTCTATCCCTAATTTTGCGGCTATTCCAGTCGGCGATATCAGCAAAAGGTGAGAGTGGACACCTCTTGACGTGCGAGAGACTGCCTTGAGCATTCTCGCTGCAATGGGTTTGCCTTCTTTGCGAGTCTCCGGTGTTCTCGGCTAGGAGGGAGGGGCAAGGGCTAACGGGGGTCATGTCTATTCCTGCGGCTGCCTCGCTTGCGTCTCGTTTTCCCCCACCATCCCCCCCTCTCTCGGGCTTGGCTGCCCTGCAGTGCCTTCCGTCATACCCCACGGGCGCTCGGTGGCGCCTGAGCCCGTCAGTTTGGCTGCTGGATGTTCGCCCGCTCTCAAACTCACAACACTCACTTTTCGACAACTTCCCAGCAGTAGACTACCTGTATCAAGCCGACAAGATTTCAGCAGTATCAAGCCGACACCATAGCAGTAGTGTTTTCGAAAGATAGAGGCGAGGGTATTACTACTGCTGTTGTGTTATGTACCCGACATCGAACGTTTCTTGGTGGCGATGGGAACCTAGCGCGCACGGCCAGCAGGCGCACCTGCTCCCTATCTAGACTATGCAGGCGGTGTCTTTGTATCCGAAAGAAACCAAACCACAGCAGTTACCGATACTGCTGTACCATCACGCGGGTAATCCAGATGCAGTCGATACAGGTTCTGATATGCATATGTCGTTCTGGATAGACTACTGATACAGCCCTCTTGCGGTTAAAGAGGGCACCTTCCGTTCCTCTCCCACCAAGGCCACGTGCTGCGCCGTGTGTCCACGACACGAGCCCTGGGTAGATTTGGGGATCCTTTTTTGGTGGGGCAACAAGGTCTCCCTCGCTCGTTGTTGCCCCGTCTCGAGAAGATTGAGATTCCGCGCCCGGAGGAATCTATCATTTGGTCGATCGTAGTGAGAATCATCAGCGTGTCAATAGGCCTGTCCTACATCGGCCGTTTTGCTTGTATGACGGAGAATAACAAGGTGGAATTACTTGAAATTAGTATAGAAATAAAGTTTGTGTATCTAAATCGAAAATAAAACGGCCGATGGAGGACAGGCCTACGTGTCAATCGATTTCAATCAAGTAAATGTGTACCAATGTACGCATATTAGCAAAGGCTTTACCCGGTTACCCACGAGCCCGTTCAGTGGGATGAACCTCAACCTGACGGTAGCGGGGACTCTCTGTTCAACTCCTCTCGCCGAGAGGGCCGTTGCCGTGCGTCCGTGCCACACCTCTGAAAGCACGTGGTCGTGTGTGCAACTACCCGCATTTCCTTGTTTCACTTACATGTGGCCCTCCGGCTTGATTTCATTTGGTCGGTTGGGATCCAAATGCTTCGTAGCCACACCAAGAAACGAACGTTCACGTGTGACCAGTTTCGAGGCCTTGCTGCATGGAATTGAGTATCCCCCGGATGCCGAATCAACCCGTGGCATACATCTGGTTTGGCACAGCAAACGCAAGCGTGATGGGCAGTTTCTGGTGCATCCTTGTGAAGCGCAGCGTGGGCCGGCAGTAACCCGACATATCGCTCCGTCCCGACATTGCAAGGTCAACGGTCTAACGACTACGGCATGCGTTTCCCCCCCCGGCATTGCATTTTCTCCTCCTCCCCCGCTTTCGTTACCCGAAACGACGGTCCATGCGTGTCTCACAGGATTTGTACTACTGCCAGCGGCAACTGCAAAGGGTGCACATCGCGGAGGGGGGGGCGGCATGACGGCAGGGGTGACCGCAGGAGGAGAGGCACCGGCCGAGGCTTGTGCTCCCGCGAGGGACAACCCTTTCAACTCGGATGACAGCATCAGCCCGATGGTTAAGACGGTTTCCCCGTCCAAGACATTGGAGGTATGTGTTCGAGGCAGCTACCCGTTGCTGTCCCGCTACAGCACAATCGTAACTATGAAGGATGCCACAAGTTGAGGTTTCCAGATAGGGTGGCGGTAGAACTATGGTACTGATCAGGACGATTGATACGTAGCGGCGCCGAAAAAACAGAAGTTCCCACCAAAGAAACGGACAAAAAGCAAAGTTGGTAGTGTGCTTCTAGAGGAAATGTGGGGAGAAATGCGGAGAAATCTCTGTCGGGACAACAGCAAGCGCCACCACCACCACCACCGATACCACCAGAGAGAGAGAGAGAGAGAGAGAGAGAGAGAGAGAGAGAGAGA